GGAGGACGGGCAGGTGAGGGAGGTGGAGGAGAGCAGAGAGAGAGGAGGAGACGAAAGGGAGAGAGAGGAGAAGGAGGACTAGAGGAAAGAGTAAGATGGAGAGAGCCGGGAGAAGAGCATAGGGACGACGGATAGAAGAGAGAAGAGAGAGGAGGGAGGGACGGGATTCTATCATCAGATGTACCTAATATCAGGGAGGATAATGGACGTCCGGGGATGGGAGGGGGATAAGGGGAGGGAGAGGAGAGGTAACGAGGGAGAGGGAGAGGAGTAGTGGAGGGGAGAGGGAAAGAGGACGAGAGAGAGGAGAGAGGAAGGAGAGGGAGAGGGGGAGAGGGAGAGTGGGAGAGGGAGAGACACAGAGGAAGATCGATCCTGACATGCAGATCTCTACACAGACGAGATGGAGAGGGAGAGGACGAGGCGAGAGGCGAGAGGAGAGGCGGAGAGGGAGAGGGAGATGATGAGAGAGAGAGGAGTGGGAGAAGAGAAGAGGAGTATCGAAGAGATCGACACGACGGAGTACTGAATCGACGTTGAGAGAGTGATGATGCTTAAGAGCTGTGAAGAAGACGTATGAGTCCGTGACAGAGAGAGAACCTGATGAAGACGAGAGAGAGGGAGCGGGCTGAGGGAGGAGAGTAGAGAGAGGAGAAGGCGGGAGACATAGAGAAGAGATAAGGGACGAATTGAAGGAGACGAGAGGAGAGAGACTGAGAGAGAGGGGGAAGAGAGAGAGAGAAAGGGTGGTGAGGAGGAGAGAGAGAGAACGATAGGAGGAGGAGTCAGAGAGAGTGACTAGGACATGAGACGACAGAGAGAAGGAGAGAGAGAGAGGTGAGAGAGAGAGTGACGAGAGAAGAGAGCAGTGAGAGAGAGACGGAAGTGGAGATGCGATCTTAGATGTGGGAGAAAGGGATGAAAAAAAAGAAGGAGGAGATAGATAGAGAGAGAGGAAAGAAAGAGATTGAAGAGATGAGAGAGGGAGAGAAAGGATTGAGAGAGAGAGACGGACGAGAGAGGACGGAGAGAGAGATAGAGATGAGAGATTAGAAGAGGAGAGAGAGCGAGAGAGGACGATGAGAAATGATGAGAAGAGAGAGGAGAGAGAGAGACGAAGAAGAGAGAGAGATGAGAGAGGAGAGCAGAGGGAGATGAGAGAAAAAGAGAGGGGAATTGAGAGGAGGAGAGAGTAGCGGAATGAGAGAGGTAGGGAGAGAGAGAGAGAGAGAGAGAGAGAGAGAGAGAGAGGAGAAAGGAGGTTGGGAGAGAGGAGGAATGACAGAGGGGATGAGAGAGAGAGAGACGAGAGAGGAAGAGCAGCGAGAGAGAGAATTGAGAGCGAGAGAAGAGAGAGATGAGAGAGAGAGAGGGGGAAGGTACATGGAGCTGGAGAGATAAGAGATGATAGGGAGGAGGACAGGGAAAAGGGAGGAGTGTGTAGAAAAGCAAAGGGAGAGGAGGGAGAGAAAGTAAGGGAGAGGAAGGGAGATAGAAAGGAGAGGAGAGAGACAAAGGAAGTGAAGAGGAGAAGCAGAGAAAGCAAGTAACAAAGAGAAAAGCAAGTGAAAGAAAGTGAGAAGGGAGAGAGGGAGGGGGGAGGAAAGGATAAAAAAAGTAGTGAAAGATAATAGAGGGAAACAGATGAAAGGAAATGGAAAAAGGAGAAAGATAAAAATATCAGAAGCTGCACAAACTTCAGTGGTGAAATTTTTCTGGACTCCCAATACTCTTGGATAAATATTAATACAATTTAGTGAAATAATATATTTGTAACTTTTTTATCAGTCCTCCAAAAGTATGGGCCAAGAACGACATTCCACACTAATGCCAAAAGTCAGGGTACCCATAAAACCACACAGCAAACTCTTGAAGTACTTATGTGAAGTGCAAACAGTCTTCTCCATATGGAAGAGGGACAGGAAGAACAGAAGAAAGAAGGAAAGGAGGAAAAAAAAGATAAAAAACAAAGTGTACAAAGCTTTAAATATGAAATTGAAAGGACAAAGTCCCGGTGTATTACCAACATGTATTCTCATGAACAAATCAAACCACTTTATTTTCCAATACTACTACAAATTTGGTATCATTCCACAAATTCTAGATAATGCTGTTTTTTATGTTCATATTACACAAAAATGTAACAGAGCTGAGAATGAGTAGAATCACATGACGTGTACACACAAACTCCTCCCTACCACTGTAATTCTCAATCAAATGCTATGGTTAAAATAATCTCTTAAGAAATTTGCAAACCACATTTCATAGTCCTGAATGATACTGGTTCTAATGCAGTTCTTGCCTCTTTATTTTTGGCATACATAGGTCAAATGAAGATATGTAAGAGATTTCTTATTTATCTTTAAAATGAAGATTGACTTAAATATCTAATATCTTGCAGGCATAAGCTATCTACAATTTACAAATTCGCTACTTTAACCAATTACAAGATACACTCACTAAAACCCTATCTGAGACACTACTGTCAAGAAGAAAAAAG